GGACTCGCCGGACAGCTGCTTTCCAATCGCTCCCACGAAGGATAAGCTTAATCAGTCATTATATATCCCACTACACTGTATCTTCTGTATGTACTATTTCCAGCGTTGTATCCAGTACCTAATCCTACGTCAGCGCTCTTCACGTCCTGCCGGCACTAGCGCGCCCGCTGTCTGTTTGCGAGGCCATCAATTTTTGACGGTGATCTGTCTCGATGTAGCTTTCTTGGAGCTTTCTGCTCCGCTGACCACCCAACTCCAACCCTTTGAATGGAAAGCGTAGAAAGTCTAATGCAATATTGTAGTCGAGGTGAACCCTGATTGATTTCCCGTCATTATCGTCAAGTGCTTTTCGGACAGGATACTGTCATATCAAACAGCCACGTCCTTTGAACACGGGACCATAAAGTCACCCAAAATGAAGCACGGCTGCGTTCAGTTTGAGTGCTGCTGGTTATGCATAAACATTAAAGAGATAAATGGCTTTCTGAGTGAGTGAAGCGTTATTACATCAGAATATACCATGAATGCGCCGCATGGATTTGGTGACGGGAGATAATGTTGGCACAGAAAAGCATGCCAGTTCCGGGATAAGTAGCACAAAAATCATACTCGCCGTGTGCTACCACAATACGCCTGAACTCACATGCTATGAAATACTCCTGTGGTTATATAATGTGGACTGTATGCATTCAAGCGTGCAACAAATGGAGCCGTTTTCGTGGTTTTCAAGTGCAGTGATGTGATTAGTGTGATCAGTGCAGTCTTGAGAATTTGTGAGGATTACTGACAAGAGTTCCTCGAAATTATTACTCGCCATAAACAGCTCACTTCAGATAGTTCACAACAGTTCAACAGTGGTAATGTCGTGCGCATGAGAAACCAGGCTAGAGACACGGGGAACCAAAGGCACGAAGTTCGATCCCTGCGGAGGCCACCTTTCCTGCCCGGGCGAGAGGCAGGCGACGCCGTATAGCCTCAGTCGCCAAGTGTGTCGTAAAGCCCCAAGGGCACACGCTATAATCCAATGGGTCACAGTCTACTTACCTGGGGTCATCGTCAAAGATTCAGCTCATTTCCAGGTGTCTTCCGGAAGGAGGCTTCTACTGGCGCTAGTTTCTACCGCTATACGATGCTAATAACATTAGCATTCACTCGAGTCCATGCGTAAGTCATCAGCAGTCACATCGATTCATCTGTGAACGAAGTAATCGAACGCATAACTCCTATCGCCAACCACTGCGCTACCCTACAGAGATGACAGAGTTCACTGATGACTTGAGTGGTGCCGGCACTGCGGGCCACGCAAACAGCGACTAGCATTTAGCAGGTCATCATCATAGCAGGTCATCAAAACCCCGTCGGGAAACCTGCGACCCGCTTGGTGCTCAGCGTGCAGTGCTCTCTCAGTGCTCTCGTCAGCTAACCGCCAGAGCCGACCCGTATTGGAGGAAAGCTGGTAGCGCGATGTTATCTTGCACTATCTGTGCCGGAGCCTGCCAGCACGTTCGTCAGATTAGCCCTCAGCCAGGGTGAAGCCAACGCGTCGTGACAGCGCCACTCAAAGCTGGACCGGGATGGCCGGGCCGGCCGCCAGCCCGGCTTGACCTGAAGTCTTCTTGACCGCTGCATCCGGATGGCACTGTGCTGGCGTGCTCTTGGCGCCTGTATTCTGGATAGGAACACGGGGGAGCGGACGCATTGGTAGAATTGGAATACGTGGTTCGCTTCGAGGAACTGGGAGCTACCGGAAAAAAATCATGTTTGAAACTAAATGCGTAGAAGGCTGCTCTGTTTCTCCTACTTCTCATGGCCTTTTCTTGTGGCCACGCGTTCACTCGTCGTAGTTGTTCTGCGAAATTTTTGGCTTAACATGGGGTCAGATGGGAGGGCAATTATACTTCGCATGTGACGGCACTCATAGTGGAAACCTTAGATATGGTAGCGATGTCGGCAATAGCGAACAAGAAGGAAAACTGAACAAAATGAACCTTTTAAACAGTGAATGTTGATGTGATGTGATGAACAAAATGAGAAAATAATGAACAAAAAATGAACAAAAAAACTTTCGAAAATGACGACACACAGAAATGTGACGATCCGGCATCAACGATGTAAGATGTCACGATCATCAACCGATCAATCAAAGCTGTTCATGCACTCAGAGATTCTTGGGGCTGTAAAGAGGCATTTTTAGAATAAAAACTTTCGTTGCCATCCAGACAAAATAGAAAATATCTTTGGCACGCCCCATTGCTTCATTTGGTATTCTTGCAATAAAATGTACCTGGCAATCTAAAACACCACCACAAAATCAGATCTCAAGCTATTGCTGGTTATTGCCGGCTGCTGGCACGCTTTCACAGCGTTAAATGTACTTAAGAGCAAGTAATCCTGGGCGTTTTTAAGCTACCGCTTAATAAAACAGTTCTAGTGCCACGGGCAGCAGACACGGAACATCGCTTGGAACATCAGAGTGAAATGCAGTCAGTAGCTCCTTAATCCATAAAGCAATTCTTCAGTCGTTCGATCTCCTCAACGTTTCTAAGGGAACTTATTACATGAGAAACATGCACTACTTCCAGCAGCGAAAAAAGCAGTGCTTTGTTCCTCTAGCCTTCACGAGCAGATGTCAAGAACTAATATTTGGCAATCAATAGATAGATGAACGCAAGCAATAAAACATGGCAAACTTGTATTGCCATGTGCCATGATTGCTCTCGTTCGTTCTGAACATTTCTGTTCGGATGGTCCGGTACCAGCCGCTTTCACGGGCCGTGCCGCAGCTGAGGGAACTTTAGTGGTGTTGGATCATTACTGGCGTGAATATTCATGGTCTAACAGGATCACAACGCTGGCCACCCGCGCGCGGGGTAGTAAAACTTCGGGTGCGGAGTTTGGAGAGTTTCGTTTATCGCTCCAGCACATGTTCAATTTTCCGTTTCCATGAAAATGACCGGCGTATTTGTTCTGTGGTGTAAAGCACCCGTCAAGCCCCATAAAAGGACGCTCACTGCAGCGGTTGTCTGGCGTAATTTGTGGGCGTTTTTCAGGAAGATAAAGACATGCAAATTCTGAGATAAACATTGCCCGGCGAGCAGACCTCAAAACCGACATACCATGAGTCGGAAAATCTCTTGCTGGAAATAATTGACACTCAGTGTACCAGGAAGTACTGGTTTATCAACGTTAGAAAGCCAAGAGCTCAGGGCTTTCCTTGCTTACATGAAGCTACCGCGTTATATAAACCGATAGGTGTTGTGAGCAGGGGGCGAAGTTACTTTGCATGCACCATCTAACTCTGAATAAGTATAATGATACTGCATCATTCACAATGATACAATTCTGCCAGTGTGATAATATTCCGTGTTATTCCTCGTATGCGGTGAATTTTGCGGAATGGCTGGCTTTGGTCCCGTCTCCATTGTCATGGTTGCGTGGTGGGCATTGAAGTGTGGTTTCCAACATGGGTTCAGCCTGCTTCTACCTGCGAAATGTCTAGTGCAGATGGAAGCGCTTCGATAGGTTGTCGGATCCGCTCCATTTTTTACGGCATACAATATGCACTGGTCCCATCACAATGGATGTATTTATATACTAACAAGTAAATATTCAACAGTCATTATTTCATGGCAGCCCTGCCCGAATTTATGAACAAGGCCGATCATGAGCTCTTACTTCAAGAGCCTAAGCCTAAGAGCAACTCAAGTGCATTGGACACATCAACTCTGATTATGTTGAGCAACATTTTGAATGCCAGCCACTCACCGTACATGCTAAAGTGTCTTCAAAGCCTTGACTTTTTATTGACTTTGATCGTCATGAGAATCTGTATTTTGAATCGCTGCAGGTGAGTTTGGTGCTTCACAGTCGTTCCGTTTTATTCGTGGCTGCTGAAGGACTGCTTTTAGAGCTCAGGATGTTCTCAAACCCACTCTGTTCGAGGTATGTTCGAGGTCAGATCCATGTTTCTTTCCTTTTCTCTCAGCCTTCCTGCGCATGGAGAGCACCTTACATCTCAGCTACCAAGGGGTTCTGCTGGGTCCAGCCGATGTCAGTTCAGTCACGTATGTGGTAGGTACCAATTTCATGCCATCGTCAATAGTATTTTCACCCCGGCCATTAAGGATATATTTTCTCAAAATAAGGTGAGTGTGGTGGAGGAGCAGAGAAAATGGCTGAAACCAGCCAAACGTACAGGGAAAACGGGTTCCTCTCTGGATTACACCCTCTTTCTTTACATGGTTAGCAGAGGGTGAGGCTAGAACCCCAAACTGTGAAAAGAACGAATAGGGAAAATTATAGTACCCAAAATGAATATGGAGCCGCAGCCCTGCCAGGCATCCGCTAATTCCGGAAACTTCGACACCATGTAAATCTTAATGTATTTTCAGAACATCGACAACAATATATTTTACATGAAACAATGTGCATTTGGTCGCGCGGGTTGGTATACCACATCCAGGGAGCTCACGGCTAAAGCTAGAGCGGCTGGCCGGCGTCAGCGCGGTGACGGCGACTGGTGACGGGGCTCGCGCGCGATACTGGCACCCTCTCCGGCCGACCCGCACCTCTGACCTCCAGCGTGACCCCCACCCACGGCTGGACTAGACTCGACACGTAGGGTAGACAACGTACCAGATGTAGACAACGCACCAATTAATGTACAGACATTCGGTTTGTACCTCAGCTATATTATACGTGCGCGCGCCTGTTAAACCGTATACTATGTAAATAAAACACCTCGCGCCACTGACCCTGTGACGTCACGTCCGGCCAGCAACGTCACAGGCGACCAATCACGCATACGGATCTAAATATCACCTTCGGCATGGAGCGGCTCGCGCGGGCGGCGGCCTAGACGGCCGTCTTGGGGGGCGGCGAGGGCGGCGAGGGCGCTCGCTTGCCGGGCACGCTGTAGGGCGAGTAACGGCTGGCGGCCGTTACGTGCACGGGCGCCGGCCGCGTCACGGGCGCAGCCAGCGCCGGCGGCGAGGGCGGCAGGCCGGCCAGGCCCGGCAGCAGCGGGCCGCCGCCGAACACGCCCAGCGGGAAGCCGACGCCGTGCAGGGCGCTCCACTGGGACCACAGCTGGGCCGTCAGCGGGAACGGCGCCGGCGGGCCGCGCGCGCCCAGCGAGTACAGCTGCCCGACGGCGTCGGTGCCCAGCACGCCGGGCAGGCCGGGCAAGCCGGGCAGCCGGCTGCCCAGCGCCGCCATCTGCGCGCGCGCCTTCTCCACCAGGCTGGAGTTGTCGGCGTCGAGCGGCGGCGGCGGCAGGCGCGGGAAACCGTACTGCTGCGAGTCGAACATGAAGTCCAGGTTGTCCCTGCAACAGGCGGCGGCCGTGTGAGAGCGTGCGGGAGACATGCGCACCGCGCCGTGAGAAGGCGGCGCCGGCTGCGACGCGGCGGTGGGAACACCGCGCCCGCACAGCCAGCCGCTGTCCCGGACGACAGCGACGCACAGTGCGACGAGCCGCGGCGCGACGGCGGCATTCGCGACGCGACAGCCTGCGCCGGTTCCCAGGCCGCCCACCAAGTCCACAATGACTCTTTCTGCGAGTGCGGCGAGAGCAAACACGCCCGCGTAATTAGTGTTAATTCGCGCCGGGCGATAATTACAGGCTGACAATCAGTGATTCATATTCGTATTCGCCGCAGCCGCGCCGCGCTGTGGTGGGCAACGCTTACCCAACTGCTCTGGCGGCATTTAACGTTTCGGCTAATGCGCCAAACGTGGGCGCAGTGCCGTAAAAGTCTGTGCCGACGATTTAAAACCTGTAATTTCGAATTATGCTGCGCTGCGCTCTGTTGGGGCCCTCCCCGACGCTGCAACGCTGATGTTTGGCCAGCATGAAAACACAACATGGAGGGCACCGCTCTTGTCTGACGTCACAATGGTGGAACCAGCACTAACTCCTCAGCTCCATGTCCGGTAGTGACGCATACTAACTGCAGAGTTATGGAGTGCGGCGAGGGCGGACGTTCAACAGCCCAGGCATGTTTCTGGCAAGTGGCAATGCGTGTGGGCTGGTGACTATCCCAGACGGCTGCACGCGGTGATCAAGAATGTGATGACCTGGCTTGTGTTCGGTGCGTGTCGTCGAGTCTTGAGAAATCGAAGACGGCAGCGAGCGGAGTAAAGAGGCAATCTCTGGATGTTTCTGATCTCCCAAAAAGAAATAACAAAGAGCTCGAAAGTAAAATATTGTTAGCATCAACTCAGCCAAAGGGCGCGATAGCCGCTCAGCTTGGCGATAATGGCGCAGTTTCGTGGCTTAGATGTTTTAAGATTTTATAGGTTTGTCAAAGGTTTTGCTCGGGACAAGCCAAGTTGAAAGTAATGCCATTGTCGGTCAGCTGTATCCAACTGTACTGTTACTGCGAACGGAATCACGTTTACGCGAAGGGATCACGGGTGTTTCCGGCTGTTCCGGAGTCTTAGTGAGGAAGCCTTTATCGACTCTTGCCGGAGGAACACCTGGCTCGCCGGAACGCTGAGATCGGAGGTTAGAAAGCGAACGAGAAACGACCTCGGAATGGCGCGCACAGGCAACAACACATTAAAATAAACTACTTAAGATAGCACTCAAAGCAAATCTGCACACGGGGATCCCAAAATGTCAAAACAGCATTCGGATGCATTGTGGACATGCAGTTTAAAGTAATTGTTGAGCGCTTGAAATCTAGAACCAGCGGGAGCCGTATCGGCGGGATGGTCACTTCCAACGTATCCAAGTCTCATCAGTCGGTACCGCGCCGGACCACGCTGCTCAACAGTCGGTACAGCGCCGGACCACACTGCCGAACAGTTGGTACAGCGTCGGGCCAGACCGCCCAACAGTCGGCACTGCGCCGGACCACGCCGCTCAACAGTCGGTACAGCGCCGGGCCAGACCGCCCAACAGTCGGTACAGCGCCGGGCCAGACCGCCCAACAGTCGGTACCTTACCGGACCACGCCGCCCACTGACCCGGGCGATCCAATTAGAGCGGCGGGCGCGCGGCGGCCGGCGGGCAAGCCGGGCGCCGCCGGACGTGTGGTATTAATGTCGGGATTTGTTCAGCAATCGCCGCCGGCCGGCCGGTCCGTAATAACACCGACACAACTGCTCTAATAATGATAAATGGTGAACTCTCCCCACCTCGGAGCGAGCCATTACCGCCCGGGCGAGACCACCGCGGCTCCCCGCGAGGGCAGCGGTCACCGGACGGGACCGCTGCTGCTCCCCGCGAGGGCAGCGGCCACCGGACGGGACCGCTGCTGCTCCCCGCGAGGGCAGCGGTCACCAGACGGGACCGCTGCTGCTCCCTGCGAGGGCAGCGGTCACCGGACGGGACCGCTGCTGCTCCCTGCGAGGGCAGCGGCCACCAGACGGGACCGCTGCTGCTCCCCGCGAGGGCAGCGGCCACCGGACGGGACCGCTGCTGCTCCCCGCGAGGTCAGCGGTCACCGGTCAGGATCGGAGACGCGTCCGCGGGCTCACTGCTGCTCGGGCGGGGAAGGAGACGTGACGTGACGCGGCGGCCTCCGAAGCTCTATGGAGAGCAGCCGGCCTCAGGACGAGCCGGGCCGGTCACCTGCCGCCAAACGGGGCTATTCCTACTGTAATGTTTTGGGCAGGTGCCGTTCCGATGTGGACGCATTGGCTTTGGTCGGCAAATGCGTCGCGGAGCTATGACCGGTGGCTTACGAGGAGAGCTACGAAGTGTCCCGCCTACAACATCAAGGAGTAATGTGAGCGACGCCTGCCACCAATGATGTTTTCGGTGGTAATGATGGATGAAAGATGGGATCATTAGTATGACCACCCGGTCTGCAATTACTATTGCACTAACGTCCACCGCAATGCAACGCAGCCACCTGTCATCCGGCCGCCTTTCGAGAGCTGCTGCATAATTCATGCAGCAGATCCTGCTCTAAAACCTGCTGGGCATAAACACTCCCCGTAGAGAAAACTTTTTTCAGTTCTCATCCGCCCAGGCGCCCGGGTAGCATGACGAGAAACGGTCACTGAATTCCGGGTAGACGAATCGCATCTGACAGACGCGGAAGTGGCGGCATCTTCCACAAACGGCTCGTTTTTTGGCAAACCGGTCGCGCCCGACAAGCGAGGAAAACCGCTGACGACAAGCAGTCACGGCTGGGAGGCTGATGTCTGGCCGGGGCGGCTCTAGCGGCGCCGAACCTTGCACAAACTGGCTTAAATCCGCCGCCTCTCTCCGGAGCGTCGGGCTGGACTCTCCACCGCACCAGGAACGGTCCTAATTGACGCGGAATCAAGCGCGCAGTTTACCTTGGCTCCAGAACAAAACATCTTAATCACATATGCAGCGCGCGCGCGCCGCCGCCGCCGTGCACACATTGATTCTGCGCACCGCGGTCGGCCTGTCCGAGCACCTTTGTGCAGCGGCGCCGCGCGAGAGGGTGCACTTAATGGCACCGGGGAGGTATGTTCTCACCTCGCCCGGCGCCTTTCATCTCGCCCGCGCAGCGATTACCTGCATATTAAAGCATAATTACTGGTCACTTGAACCTTTATTAACATCGGAATTAATGATATATTTTGATTGCGTGTCATTGGTGGTCAGTGCACCATTCCATGCATAGCTGGGTGGGTGCGGGCAGCGGCCGTCTCCGCACCCCGGCGACCGAGGCCCGGGCGGTCCTGCACGCCCCCCGCCCGCCCACTCCCTGTGCCGTGCCTGCGCGCCCGCTCTAATTAAAGGCCGTGTAAATCTCGCACCTGAGCTAATTGAAATCATGTTCGGAGCGGGCCGGGCAGCGTCGGAGGTCGCGCCGCGGGCGCCGCGTGGCGTGCCGCGGCGCCGTATCGGTATATTATATTAATTTGGAGCGAATAAGGCGTCGGCGGCGGCGGTTCGTTAGAAGGCGGTGCGGCCGTGATTACCGGGTGGGCCGGCGAGATGAGATTGGCCTCCGCGGCCGCGGCTAATGCTCGGCTCGGTGGCGGCGCGGCCGCTCCGTCAGCCGGCGCGGATGACAGCGGCTGAGAGGGGGCGGCGGACCACCGGCACCGCCAGACCGCCGGGACCGCCGCGCCGACCGGACCGGCCGCGGGGTCACGCTCGGGTGCGTGCCAGGTCAAATCTCGCCGAGCGGACAGCGCGTCGCGTCAGGGCCCGTGCAACGCGCGACGAGACAATAGCCGCGGCCGGGCAGACTCCGGAGTTTCTCCGGCGCGGAGGTGCCCCGGCCCATATGGCACGTGACCTTTGAGCGCGCCGAATGGTGGCCTCCGGGCAGGCGGTCCGCTTTCATGTAGCATATGATGCCGGCCGGGCTTTGATTCGGTGAAGATTGGACGGCGCTGGGTCGGACGACGGGTCGCTCGGTTAGAGGGCGGTACACTTCACAATGAGGACATGAGACGCCCATCCGATGCCCGTAGCCGGCCCTTCTAATGATTACAGTCATGTGCGATCATTTTAAATGCTAATGTACCGCGAAAATATTGGCATTCCCGGCAGAGCCTAGCAGAGCAATCCTTCGACAAATTGGGCATGGCTTATGGGCAAAATTAATGCAGGTATCTCGGGCAGCGTCGGCACCTTCAACGGTGGAGAGGTGCGCTTCTTTCACGCCCCAGTAATTTATTTTCGCGTGTTATTCTTGCACTGACGACGTGCAAAATGTAATGGTCTCATATAGACCTGTTTCGAGCCTCGACGATGGCGCGGCCTCCCCAGAGCCTTACGTGCCGCCGTATGATCACGTGGAAGCCAACCCTTCGGCCCGACGCCACCTGGGTACAAACTTTTATATTATGATAAACCAGAGGTTATTTGCATCAATTTGCTATCATCATGGCTAATTATTATGGTATCTGGAGGCGGTCGGCGGCACATGAAAGGCAGCGCCGGCCGGGCCGCGGAGAGAGCGCATGTCGGGCGGCCGGCAGCCGGGCCGCCGCTGCCGCGCGCTGACCTCACAAAAAGGCTCTCCCACGTGGGTCACGCAGCTGACCTGGTAATCAGGGGCGCGCTCGCCAACGTAAAGCCCGACCAAACGGGGCGAATGATGGAGCGGCGGCCGATAATTCCGACACCAATATTGGCGTGGTCCCGCCCCGTTCCGAGGCGTTTTTATATGATCGGGACCACACACGCTTTCATGTAGCCGCGCGGCCGCCGACGGCCGGCGGCCAACTGTGCGCGCGCGCGACAAAAAGCGCGCGCCGCGGCGGAAGTGGCGCGCCGGTGATGTATGTCGGCGGCGCGGCCGGCGCGCCGCTGCGCACCGAGAACACGAGCCTGTTTTGATCGTGGAGGCACCGTAAAAGTCGTCGAGCCGAGACGAGGCTCCCTCGGATGCTGCGGCGCTGACGATGTGGGGGGGGGGGGGGGGGGGACGGAGAGCGTGCCGGGAGGGCGGGGCGAGCCGCGGTGTGATGGCACGGTGGGCCGGCGAGGGGTGGCAGCAGGCGCGCCGGCGGCCGGCGGGTGGGCCGGCTGCCGTGCTCACGCGGGCAGAGCGGGGGAGCGACAGGAGAGAGTGACCACCCGGCGCCCCCGACTGACGGACGGACGGACGGCCCGGCTGACAGGCAGGCGCAGCGTACACGTCCGCCAAGGTGTCTCTCGCGCTTATCGGCTCTGTCATCCTCTGAGCGGCATTAAAGCGGCTTTCTGCCTCACCTGGCGCGGAAGGTTATCAACACACACGAGCAGTGCACTCACCGTTCATAATCTGTCAGTCGCGACGAGTCCCTGAAGCCCTTGGCGAATGGGTTGCTGTCGATCTTCAGCTTGGTTATCTGCAACACAAACGGGGCGACGTCAGCACGGCCGCGCCGCGTCCGCGGATTTTTCCGGCCGGCCGGCGGCACATCAGAGGCGCCGCCGCCGCCGCCAGTGCGTCATCTGAAGGCTATCGTTGTGATCCAATTAGGCGTTGGCGGGCCGGCGCGGGCCGGGTGACGGACGCCGGCCGGCCCGCCGCCGCCGCCGTCGCCGGCGGCACGCGCCGCTACCGGCCCGCCCCGCCGCCCGCCGCCCGCCCCTCCAGCGCGTCTCGTCGCGCCGGCCACGGGCAGCTGGAGATGGCGGGGTGTCGGTGCGCAGGCGTCACTGCCCCCGGCAGAGGCAGACGGGCCTGACACACGGCAGGTGATCAGGTGCTAACGGACGCCCGAGACACGGAGCTCCGGGTACGCGTCTCGAGCGATGGCGGTTTGACGGTGTATTTCCCTCTCTTGGGGTGCCTGGCACTCGCCGGATCCTCGGTTTATCGGCCCGCTGCGACTTGTTTACAGTTACTTCTGGTTGCGTCGGTAATCTTTCGTGCTTTTCGTTTGGTTGAGGACAGCCCAGAAAAATCTCACAGCATCAATGAATATATATTTTTATAAAACAGAGAGTACCTGATCCGAGTGATAAGCTGTCTGTGCAAAAGATCTGACTAACCCCTTGTCAAAAGTATGACAGCAACGAAACCTGGCTTGTGACGCAGACCCTGACCCCATCATGGCTGGTGACGCAGACCCTAACCTCATCACGACTGGTGACGCAGACCCTAACCTCATCACGACTGGTGACGCAGACCCTAACCTCATCATGGCTGGTGACGCAGACCCCAACCTCATCATGGCTGGTGACGCAGACCCCAACCTCATCACGACTGGTGACGCAGACCCTAACCTCATCACGACTGGTGACGCAGACCCCAACCTCATCACGACTGGTGACGCAGACCCTAACCTCATCATGGCTGGTGACGCAGACCCCAACCTCATCACGACTGGTGACGCAGACCCTAACCTCATCACGACTGGTGACGAAAACCCTCATCCGAATACGTCTAAGTAACTAGTACAGCTTGCCCAACATATGCTGCAGCTTTTTTAAGTGATCAAGAATCACCCACTCCACCAGCAAAAATTTAATTAAGTAAGTAGGATGTTATCGTATAAGATTTTGACTCATCTGGTATCCCTGTAGCATCTGTTACTTTCTTGCTCGCTATATATTTTATCTTGACGCTGTAAGGGTATTGCGTTAAAACCAGGGACGAAGCCGAGCGAGCAGGATTACAGATTTGTTGGATATGTTGAGTCTTAAAAACTGTTTTAACAGATGAGTTTCCTTTTCTTCGTGGACAGATTTCATCGAAAAATCTTGCGCGTGGCTCCTATCCCTTTGGCATGCCAGGGAGTGCCACTACACTGCTGCCGCCTGCAGCCTTCTCTCCGTCGGCATACGCCTGACGCCTTCAGCCTAACTCTCCAGACCAGTCGCCCGTCGGCAAATCAGGCGTCCAAAGATGAGTCACCTGATGGTGCTTGGGAACTCCATCCCACCTGCCACACATTGATCGGGGTGACCGATGCTTGATCAACTGTGCTACAGCAGCGACATGAAACAGTGAACTGGTCGAGTTGGGTTGTTTATTTGTACGGTATATCAGCCTCCGCGGCTTTTCGTGTCATGTCAAGTAATTAAACACGGGCATGTGTGACTTGACATGATATGAAGTGACACGAAACAGAGCGTGTGATAAAATACCGGAAAATGACATACAATGAAAGCATTGACAAAGTAGGCAAAAAGCAAGCTTGACGTGCTGGTAACAGTTATTTCAGTCGGGCACAATGAGCAAAATGTGAGGTTTACGCTTACTAAGCCCGGATAATGCTCTAGCCTTCTTGCTGATCAAATCGCAAAAGCGACAGGACTTTTCAGCGCAGCTAACAGTAGGTACATGAACCATTTATGACATGTCCTTCATTAAATCGTAATAAAACCGCACAGCCGACAGGACTTTTCAGTGCAACGCGTGTCGGGTTACACGAGCTATTGATGACATGCCCTACACGCAAAGCTCGCGTCCGACTAACTCACGCCGTAAAAAACCCCGCCAGCCGGCCAGCTCTGAGAGCCGAAATGACATCAGCGCCGCGCGATCTCGGGCGCGGCTCCTCTCTCCGAGACAGCTCACTCCGGCCAACACAGCTGTCTGCAGAGCGGCAGCTGCCAGCCGCTCAAAGCGGCCGATTTCTCAGCGCAGCTCCGCGCGCGCGGGCCAATGGCGGCCGGCAGTCGGCTGACGCGGACAATTAGCGACTCTTAGCGGCCCCCCGGCGCGCCGGAAGCCGGGCGACGCACGCAGCTGATAATGGTGACGGACGGCGCTGTCCGTCATGTTGTTGTGGCCGGTATCGCCGCCGCCATCGGGCCCGCCCGACGCGGCGCGCGTCACCATTTTGAAACGGTCCCGAGCGCCGGCCAAACAGCCGGGCGCGGCGACGGCACCCACCTCTCGCCAGCCGACTTCGGACTGGACGGTGGCGCTGGAGGAGGATCAGACTGAGGCGCAACTGAGGCCCTTCAAATGGGACTGGTGAGGCGGGGCAGCGCAAAACAACCGCAATATTTTTTGGTGGTAAAAAATTGTCTCCCTCTCTCGGCCGAAACCATACAACATAAGAATGCTATTTTCCTAAGCAACGCGCCTCACGCCATCGCGCACCTATTCACGGAGCGCTAGCGTCTGCAAAGGCCATGTCCGCGCTCAGGTGCGGTGGCGCAACCTGAATTCAAACCCCGGGACCCTACGTGATAGCGGAAGGCGCTAACCATTTGGCCATTGCGCCACCAGTATACGTAAGAGTGTGTTATGCTTATATTTTAAGTGGGCTGGTAAGGCACTAATATGCACAAGCTTTAAGTAAAGCCAGGGGGCAACTGAAGGATGTGCTATGGGTTAAATGTCACCCTGTCAAACAGGTCGCCTAAGTGTAGTTTTACACGAGTCACCTTCTCAGTACGTCATATCATTATTTTTTAAATATCATTTCGAACTCTGCATGGATTTATCGTATTGGTGCCGCTCTTTCCACACCAACCAAGCGTGAAATGTCGCGTCAACTCCTGAATATTTTAACGAAAATGTAATGCACCGTAGTGCACTGTGCCGTCCGTCTTATTCGGGGACACCGTTCAGGTTGTGCTCCATTCCCTTGATAATTATAAGGACCATAAAGCATACAGTGCCGTTTCTCTAAATTTGCAATGTTCGGTTATCACAACAAACATATTGCTTTCTTCCCAGCGCCGTGAGTACTTCGACTTCCCAACGAGACTACAGTAGAATCTGTGCGCACGCTATGCGCTGTTTGGCAAAACGGTTTTGCTATCCAGGTTTTACGTGTCCGAGCCGTAAGTCCCACCACCTTCGATTCCTGCTACTTTGGGAACCGGTCTCCCTTCCTAACGCATGTTCTTTCGGACGTTGTACTAGCAGCGACGCCGACGCGAAGATCTACCGGCTCGATGACGCAATGTCCACCGAAGAGCGGCCACCTCACCACCTCGCGAACCATTCTCACCCCCTCCCCTTCCCCCTCCCACTACATCACCCCTAAGGAGTGTTCGCTGGCGTCCTGCCCTAATCCCTGCGGCGGCCCCACCCTCGGCGGCCGCTCACCGAGGCATCCCCGGCTCGGGCGCGCGCTGATTGGCTGCCCTGCCTGCCGTGCCGATCCCCCTAATCCCGACGCCCGCGCCGGCCGCCAGCCGCGCAGACGGCGGCGTCTCGCCCAGCCTTCATCAGTCAAAGCGCCCCAGCCAGCCGACGCGGCCGACGGTTCAATGTGGGTTCAATGTGGGCCTTCTGCGAAGCGCGGATAAAAGGCTTTTGCATGGGCCGAACCGGCCCCATTCAACAGTTCATGAGAACGTTATTTGCGGCTAATCAATATTAATGCATCGGGTTAACGTATGGCTGGAACAGGTCGCCGCTTCTCTATGCCGTGCTGTAAATCTTGTTTTGACGCGCGCTCGCTCCACAGGCCCATGCCGTGTGGGCCCGCGCTGGGCTCGGTCTGAGGCTGGACGTTCACACCCGACACTGGGCGGTGCCCGCCATATGGCATCGTGTAGTAAACAGCACGGGAACACATATGCTAACGGTTCGTCGGGGTCGGCGGGAAGGGGCGGGCTGCTGAATCTGGGCGCCTCTCACGGCACTTCGTGCAGGCAACAGATTGTCGAATAAAGAAAATTTAACTAAAAATACCGTGCACGCCGTGCACTGTCTGTCCGCTCCGTGCACAACACTCACCAATTGATTCTGATAGGCTGTGACAGCGGTGAACACCGTCTCTGGGAAGATGAACGTCTTGTGTTTGACCTTGCTGATGTCCTCGATCGATGACGGGTTCGTGTCGTTCTCCAGGAGCACCAGATGAACCCGTGGCTGGTACTTGTGCATCGAGTTTAGCACAATCTGAAACAGCCAAGTGTGCTGTGACAACACAATGGCACGTTGAGTAGCTCCGTGACGTGGCTAAGCTGGCAAATTCAACTTTCTTAATAGCTAAAAGCAAGATGACATTGACATTCTCGATATTGATACATCTGATGACATTGAGCTGACACCAATGGCTTCTGTGACAGCCAAAGTCATTTGAACGTCGCTCTGCGGCGTTGCTATCGTCAAAATAATGCTCCTCAAAACGCCGTGGGAACTGCAGACTGGCAACTATGCAAATCAGTGAAGACCTGCTGACGCGGACAGGAGCGAGTCGCATTCAGGGTCGGCCGATTTCTCGGCGGCACCATCTGCAACGCACCTGGCCCTGTTTGTCCATCTCGTTGTTCGTCAGCTTCGTCTTCTCGAAGGAGACCACCTGCTTCTTGAGCTGCTCGCCGCTGAACGGGCAGTCAGGGTGCACGTAGAGCCGCGCCGGCGCCGGCGGGTCCGCCTTGCCCGCCACCAGCCACGACGACCGGTGGTAGGCGTAGCGGTAGCGCTTGTTGTCCACCGGCACGATGTCCTGGATGACGGCGTATCGCAGCTGCGGATCCACGCCGGTGAACGAGCAGCGCACCGTCGGGAACATCCGTCTGCAAGGCGGCGAAAGCGGCGCGTCAGGCGTGGCCTCGCGGCGCCGGCGGCACGGCACGCGTCCCCGGCCGGGGACGAGGCAGCGGCCGCCGCTCTGGCACCTGCGCCAGGGCGGCCAGCCGCGACATCAGCTGCTGGCGCCGGCGGTCTGCGGCGGCGGCGGCGGCGGCGGCGGCGGCGGCGGCGCAGCGCGGTCCGTGTGTCGGCCGTTTCCGGCGCCCGCGGCCCTGGTGGCTGGTCTGCTCTGCGGCGGTGTTTTGGGCGCGATGCGGTCGGCGCGGCTTGAAAGCCAGCCAACTGCTGTGCTTGGGACGGTCCGTGATGCGGGACGGTCTCCAGCATAATTCTCTGTGTCCAGCATGATCTTCTGTGTCCGACATGGCCACTGTGCCCGCTATGGTCCTTTCGCCCGGCACGGTTCCATGGGTCAGATCCGGTTCTACCGTCAACTGTTATTAACTGTGTAAGCACAGTTTTCTGTGTCAGGCATGGTGCTTGATGCGATGCGCGGTCCTAGACCTTAAGAGCGGGCCTGTGTGCGACGCGCAGTACTCTGCGTTAAGAGCGGGCCTCTGTGCGAGGCACAGTCCTCTGCGTTAAAAGCGGGCCTCTGTGTGAGGTGCGGTCCTCTGTGTTGAGAGCGGGCCTCTGTGCGAGTCGCGGTCCTCTGCATCATGCACGGTTCTCCGTGCTGGTCCCAGTACTTTGCGCCAAGCACGGCCAAGCATGGTCACTCGCACTCGTCGCGGTCCCCTTGTCAGGTCATCTTGTCAGGCATCGTCGCCTATACCTGCCCCATGTGTTGCTTTCTGACCTTTTTCTAGAACTATCCCAAATTGAGGCCGCACATGGCTCGGGACTGCTCTGTGCTTGGCTTGGGTCAGTGGGCCAGCTGCCCCTCCCCCTCCCCCCTGCACACTCCTGCAGCCTAGCTCCTGGACAGCGCCTCCCTTTCATCAGACAATAAAACACCGGCCGCAGTGAGGAGGTTACGACACATCTAAACATTGTTGGGCGCTCGGACTCGCTCCCAGTGACGGCCAGTTGGCAAATCATCTGGTAGCACGGACGGAGGAGCCCATTGACGCTAACCAGGCAGCGCCATTCAAACTGCGGCGGCGTCTGCGGCGCAGTGACTGAGTTGCAAACGCCACAGGACGATGCTGGGACGAAAGGGAATGGGCGGCGTGCGTTGCCATGGAGACAGCCCTCTGAAGGCCGACTGGACCATCTCAACAGAGATAAACGTTGCTGCTTTTGCGTTTCGCGACAGTTGTTGCACTTCTGCGTTGCAACACGTTACCGTTGATGCAGATTACGCAAACGGATTTACATTTCTGTAATGCAAGTATATAGTTAACTTCCAATACTAAATCATTAAAAATAATTCATATCGCTTGCTTGAATGTTTTATTTACATCTTCACGGTGCTTGTATCCGTCATCTGCCCACGTTTTAACCCACACGCGTCTATGCCCGGATCCAAATTTGGATCAGCCAACCAAACTTGGGTCGGCAGACCAGATTTAGATCATCCCCAGTTTACCACGCGTCACGCGTGTATCGAGCAGGACGTAGCATGGGTGGAGCTTTGCATCTCGCAGGAATGCCTGGAGTGGCCGTCGTGACTTGAGTGGCTTTCCTTGCATGGCTTTCCTTGAGTGCCTTTCCCTGTTAGAATTCCCCTCCCCCAAAAAGAGATTCAGATGGGAAGTGCTGATCAAAAATCTCAGCTAGAATATACCAAGCGAGCCAGTATCTTCTCCAAAGCCTGTCCCCTGCTCTCTTCAGTGTATCTTCCAAACCCTGTCCTCTGGTCTCTACAGTCCGTTCCAAATGCTGTCCTCTGGCCTCCAGCCAATTTCACAAAAGTCCGGTCCTGTGTCCTTCTTGCTGCGCATGCAAAAACAGAGGCGCACACGGCCTCGCGATTGCAATCACACTCAAAAGGACAACCCGTATTCCACCCCAACACAAAGCGAAATGCCGGAGAGCGGCGGCATGCCATCGCTAAAGCACGGCCGCCCTACGTCTTACACTGCACTCAGCGTCACCTGCCGGACCACACAGCACCTCTGGTGTGGTACTGAGCAGCCGGCCCCGCCCGCGCCGAGTGCACCGATTCACCGACCGGCGGACACTTCACCGGCCCGCCGCGGACACTTCACCGGCCCGCCGGCGGCCACACAGGCCCTGCATCGTGCCTCCGTATAAAGACCGCCGTCGACCGTATGTGCCGGCCCTCGCATAAATCAGCCGGCGCCGCCTCGATAGCATCAGCAGGATCTGTCATAATGCATCGGCCGGCCGTCGGTCGGCGGCCGTGACGGGCGGCTTTCGTCGGCGACGCTCGCGTCTCCCGTATATATCGCCGCTGTCGCCCGCCGTAATGGCCGGGTAATTTGGTCACCTGAAATACGGCGCGCGCGCCCGGCGTGAATCAACGCCGGGCGGCGGCGCTGCAGCGCGCGGCATGCCGCATGAATAGCGGCCGACGACACGGCTACTGGTCTCCGCCGGCGGCCGGCTGGCCGTCCGCCAGGTGTCCGGCTGGTCCCGCCGGCTGTCCGACTGTCCGGCCGGCCGCGACGCCGCGCTCGGCCCACGCTCCGGAGCCGGGGTGGCCGCGGCGCCGCGCTCGACCCGCGCTCCGGAGCCGGGGTGGCCGCGGCGCCGCGCTCGGCCCGCGCTCCGGAGCTGGGGTGGCCGCGGCGCCGCGCTCGGCCCACGCTCTGGAGCCGGGGTGGCCGCGACGCCGCGCTCGACCCGCGCTCCGGAGCCGGGGTGGCCGCGGCGCCGCGCTCGGCCCGCGCTCCGGAGCCGGGGTGGCCGCGGCGCCGCGCTCGGCCCACGCTCCGGAGCCGGGGTGGCCGCGGCGCCTGCCGCGCGGCGGAGACGCCCGGCCGGCCTGGTCGACGGACCGAGAGGTGTCCGGTCCGGGCTTCCAACCCGCGCTTGAGAGGCCCTGTGCGGTCACCCCGTCCGGACTGGCTGTCCAGCGGTGCTGTACGGGAATGCTGTCCGATGGTGCTGTCTGGGGGTGCTGTCCGGCGCGCTCCGCCGGGCGGCGGGCGATCGCCACCTACGCCGCGTTCGACGCAGCCGCGTCCGCCTGCCGCCCACCCGGCGGACGTAATGGCTCGCGTAGTCGCTGATTACACTGTTTGCGGCCGACAAACGGGGCGGCGAAGTGGCGCGAAGGTGGCGCGCCACTTACGCCTCGCGGCGGCCTGACGCCCTCCCAAGGCGCGCCACGAACGGCGCGCAAGGCGTACCCTGTGCAGCATGCAGGCACCTGGAGCCGTATATGGCACGACAAAGCGTGTGGAAGTGCTCACACCCTGGTGTTTGTAGAACGCCATTAGCGTTGGCGTTGTTTGAATGCTGGCGTGGATGCCGCGGTGCATGTTCGGGGCACGCTGCCCAGCATGGACGTTTCCTATTACAACATTGACATTGGTTAATTGTCCATATTAAAACAAACGGCAAAGCGTCGCGGCGCACGCAAGTCGCCCTGTCGCGCGTCCGCGCCAGCCGTAACTCACGCCCAAATAAATAACCCCCGGCCGGCGTGAAATCGGCCGGATCCGACCACGTGACCGGGCGTGGGCCAATCGCAGCGGGCGCGCCGTCACGCGGGCGGGGGGCGCGCCGCTTTTTCCGCGCGCCGCCCACGACGCGCCGCGCGCGGAATTTGTCCCTGGAATCTGGAATGGTGCGCAGCTATGCGGCGGCGGGCCACCGGGCGCGCGCGCGCGGGCGGCCGGTAGCGCGCCCGGCCGTCTGCGCGGCTGCTGTCGCGCGGCGCGTGACGTCACGGGCCGGATTACGGCTGCAGGCCGGCGCGGCATTCCTTTTCGCCCGTTTCACCGACGAGAACATCGGCGCTGACACCGGCGGCGCCGTCGGCGCGCGGCGCCGGCCGCCGACGCGGCGCAGCCTCATCGCGGTGACGAAGCGTGCCCCCAAATCGCATTACTCGATAGCATCACCGCGCGCCAGTTATAGACTCATATGCAGGCAAACGGGCTCACCGGCTCCGGCGCCGCTTGCTGGACGGCGCTGGCGCCGGGTGCTGGGTGTTGGAAGGTCGGCGACGGAATCGGGGTGCTGGATGTTGGGTGCTGGATTTCAGGTTGTGGTGCGGTGGGTGCTAGGTGCCGGGTGTTTACACCAGTTGCCGGGTTCTGTTACCGGGTTTGGGTGACAGTGCGGGAGCTGGGTGTTGGGTGCCGGTTGCTGGGTGCTGGGCCCACGCTGCTGAGTCCCGGGCGTCGGGCGCTGGTGGCGACAGCTCCGGCGTCAGCACAGGTCCGCCGCTGAGCAGGGTGCGGGTGGGCCCGGTCAGCACAGTGACCGGATCTGCATGTCCTGCTACCGAACTTTGCACACGGCGCGGCCGGCGACGGCGTGGGGAGTGGCGGGTGGGGAGGGGCGGGGGTGGGGGCCCTGTCGTAACTTCTGCAGCGGAACACGAGCGGAGTCAGCTGAGTGCATCGAGATGGTGTCGCTAAACTCGGCAGCCCTGCGCTATCGCAGACCGGCATCACGTCATTATAAATGCGCGATGGCCGCCCATAACAGCGCCTGATGCAAGGCATATGTCTTCATGGGCGAAGAATGCGCTGCGCTAGGCTCAGCTCAGGTAGCGACACATCAAGTTAGCTTAAACGGGCATGAATGTCGCATTTTAAAAACCGCATGACGTAACTTTGAGCAAGTGCATATCACCGCCTGCTCTCCAGGTGCTACAGCGGCCATCAGCCCGTCTAACGAGCGGGCAGAGCGCTCGGACGTGAGCGCAACTAGTTCAGATGAGTTACGAAGCGAACCGGCCGGCTGAGGCCGCGATGAACCCCTCCTCAGCACTCCTCAGCTGAGAGCAGCGGCTGGCCGAATCCCACGATAGTTGGACGCCGCAGAACACCGCGACTACCTCTAAATCACGCGTAATAACCACATGTGCACGGGGTGGCCGCGGCGACCGCAGTGCCGCCAT